AGCTGCAGAATATTTATTCATTTAAGATAGCTATTCTTTATTTCTATAACCAAAAAGTAGCGTCAAGCCGTAAGATATAATATTTCCCTCTTTGCTATTTTTATATTCAGAAATTATTTGATTTTGAGGTAAAATTCCTTGCATTCATTTTTTGGTTCCCAAAAGCATCTAAGACTTCAAGGAGCTTTCTGGTGTTCTCAAGTATTTTTTGTATCCTCAGTCTTTTAGGCAGTTTATGAACTCACTTTGAAAATTTTTAAACTAAAATTTCAATATAAATCGTTCTTCCTCCATGTATATGAAAGGACATCACAGCAAAACTCATCCCAAACTGTCCTTATTTTCTTTGCATCCATCACAAATCTCACAAACTCACGATATTTGGAGAGACTTATGACATTTGGAGAGACTTAAGTGTTAAGTAATCAGATTCACAAAAGTTCACATACCAAGTGTGACCATGGACCACCAAAGGGAGTCAACAGGAAGCTCAAAAGGGAGGGGTATCTGTGTGTTAAAGCAATTCCTTCCCACCACATAGGTCTCCACTTGCACAGAGTGTAGATGAGTTGGCAGGATTTTAGGTATCTAAATCACTTCAGCAGCAAAAATTTGGGTATCTGCATCCCCTGAGATACCAAAGTGGATTAGTCAAGATTTTGTAGATCACAGTTTTTTGGTCTTGGTCAGCTAAGCATGAAGTATATCACTTTGAATTTGAGGTTTTAGATGTTTTTTTAACAGGATTGGCCATTTGCCTTGATTTTCAGTATGTGACCTAAGGAGAAGCTTCAGGGTGTTTGAAGTTTACTCCCAAAGATCTATCCAGGCCTTTCAACATGTCCAAGTACTTTGGAATGGAAAGGATTGCATCAATATTTGAAGGTTAGAGTGAGTCCCAGATATAGCACTTGGCAAGGTGTTGGAATGAGGTGGAAGGAAAATCACCAGCTCCCTGTCCATTTATTCTGTTTATTTGCCTGTGTGAAGCTGGCAAACATTAGTTATTTAAACTGGTGTCTTTGTTTGATAAATGTGCTGGTTTGGTCTTGGTTAGCTTGGGGGAACTTCATATTGTAGCCATTCAAGCTGGCTCTTCTCTGCCTCCTCCCTGACCAGACAGCTGAGTGGAGCCAACATTAGAAAACAGACTCTTGGCAAAATGGGGATTTGCCTGTGGCAGCATTTCCAGAGCCCTGAAAGTTGGTCCTGCTCTCCCTGTAGCTGGGCCACTCCTCACAGCAGCACTCTCCTCTCCTGCATTCAGTGCCACCAGCTTTCCAGGGGAAATCAGTCCTATCTGTGTCTTTGGGACAATCAAATTCAGGTCTGCCTACCCTGCCATGAGCCCCAGCTCTAAACTGGTGTATGAACAAACACGTCCCTCCACTCCATTTCCCCTTTTTACAGCAACAATCCCAGAGCCACAGGCCAGCACAAATCGTTGTATCATCAGTTCTGACCCCAGAAATAATATAGGTTACAGTTTGCTCACCCATTTGCCTTTCTAGCCGAATGTTTAGCTTTATCAGATTCTTAAGATACCAGAGTTGTTAAATCATTACTAAATCAGGCAACAGGTAGGAACTTCGCAGATGGATTTTAATAAGTCAAATTTGGGAAGTTTTGCTAATGAAGCATTTCCAGTAGCAACACGTTCTTTGTTCTCCCTTTCTTCAAAGACTACGAAATTAGTGAATCAGCTTTGACTGTATTTTTTGTTAGTATGTCACAACCTCAGTGTCCTTTTAATTGTTTAGGAGCCTTGAAAGTGTGTGGTTTAGATTCAGTGCTGAATTTGAAGGAACCATTAAGTACTTTTCTGGACTTCAGCACTGTCCTTTTTCACACCTAACAAATGCAAAGCTACTAGGAGACAGCTCGCCTGGAATGACCCAACGTACAAAGAAGTGTTAAGAAAAAAGGACTCTTTCCCAGTAGGCAGAACTATCACAGCAGTTCTGATGGCAGAGCATCACTGTTTCTTTTTCTGTTCACATTTCAAATGCATCTGTCACTGTAGTATCTAGGAATCAGTAGGAGATCTAGGAGGACTGAGATTAAAGAAACAGATCTGAACTGAGTTAAATATTGCTGCATTGATGGTCATGCAATTTTTGGCCTGGGCATTTGCCAGGAGGAAGGGACCAGTGTACATTTCAGTATTTTTTACCAAAAAAAAGTGAAGAATGTGCAGTAGGAAAATGCAGTCCCATAAGTTTGGGTTTTTTTCAAATTATCTATGTATTAAAATCCATAGCAAAAAACATCTCAAGGAACAAAGTAAAAGAATATCATTTGTACTTCAGTATTTTTCAGATATTTTTGGTATCAAGCAGGGAAGAGGACCTTGAGCCTTGAGCTTCCATCACACACTTATTAGACAATTTTTAGCATGTCTTGTGATTTCAAGAGATCTCCCAGAAAGAGAGAGATTCTTGAACTCAGAATAAGTTTAAAGACAGTTAAAATTGGTTAAATTACAAGTGTGCTCTAAAGTCAGAACACAAGAGATAATACCATCATCTGACCAAGCTGTAGTCATTTGAGTATCTGATGTTCAAGTTGCAAATTGCTGGATTCTGTGCTAGAGAAAATCAGATTTGCAGTCCTCTCTTCTCACTCTCCAGATTGGTGTCTAAATCTGGGAGTTACTCCCACACCTTACATACAGAGTCAGCCTGGGATGGGTATGCTTATTAAAGAGAAAGTTGCTCTGCTGTAGATCATTCATATCCTTGGAGTTGCCCAGATGTAAAATGTTAAAGAAGTTGAATTATAGTGTATGTTTACTGTCTTCTTCAGTGTATCCACCATAAATGAAAGAGAGCTAGTAACAAGCCTTACAGTTGTAATGTTTTGTCTATTTGTGTAGGACTGATACTGTATGAGGAAGAGAAATGCAAGGTTTGGTCCTTAAGGTCACCTTTCCTATTTGCCAAGAAGAAATGTTAGATTCGTTTTAATGAAATATAAGCTAAACAAAGCTTTGCTCAGAAGATGATTATTTACTAAATAAATTCTAAAGCAGGAGATTAGAACAAATATGACTCACATGGAGCAAACTTAAATCCTACACTGGGATAAACACTTCAAAACTAAACTCCACTTTAAAAAAAAAACAAGATGAATTTCTAGGAGCCTTAGTTCCACTGACAATTTGCGCTTTTAAATTTCTAAGTTTAAAGATGTACTCTAGGTGAAAGAAATGAGCAAGAAACAAGCTACAGAATAAATCTAAAATGCAGTCTGCATGTAGGAGTTTCTCTTCTCCTGACATACAGAATTTCGGTTGCAGTCAGTGAAGTCATAGGTATGTGGGAAGACTGAAGAGTCTTATACCACAGCAGTGCTTCCCAGCTGACGAGCAAAGTAGCCACTGTCACTTAGCAGACTGAGTAGATAATGCCAAGGAAGCTCAGTGGAAAAGGAGGCAAAATGTGTCAAGAGAGAAGGAGGGGGAAAAAACCCAAATACAAAACACCAAATCAAACCATTCTTCTAAACCAACTTGAAGGTGGCTAGTGTCTATGCAAAATGTGGGATCTTGGAAAGGTCAGGTGTTATTATCCAATGAAAATGTAGAGTGCATAGAATAAAAAGAATTAGTTGTTGCAAAGCATCTAGACATACTGGAACTGAGCCAGTAGGAACAGCAAATGATCAAACAAAAATAATGCTGAGTTCTTCAGGGAGAAAAATGTGAATGTTGCTGTCTTACAGCATTTTTATGTAGCTCAGAGAGCAACAAACAAGATGCAGACCAATGGGTAATAAATGGACTGTAAAGGTTTATTTGCTTAAGCTGGAAGGTAGTGGGACCTGGTGGAATGTACCTTCATCCTTTGAGGGAGGAAACCTTGTGTTGGTTTCACTTCTGCTTTAGTCTTGCTGTGGGGAAAGGGACCTTTCTTTTGAAGGCATCAGTGAAATAAAACATTGAGGTGCAGGGAACACCATCTTCTCTTTTCTGGCATCAGTCTGCAATATCTTACTCTTTAAAGCGTCACTGACTCACTGAAATGTATTTTCTACACCCCCTCAGCTTAGTCTTATAGCTCACATCAGTAGATTTCCTGAGTTTGTGTTGAATTATGGCTCTCTGTGCTGCTGGAGGTTCTCAAATTCAAGGAATTAGAGCTTGTCTCCAAAACCTCAACATTTCTTCTTACAAACCAAAGCTCAGCCCATTGGGTCACACAATGAGCAAGGGGAACATGGCAGCTGGAGGGACCTTTGATGAGGCTGTGTCCTGTCAGGGAGGAGTCTCAAATCCAAGTGATACAGCTCCAGCTGATCCCATGTTGCTGGGCAGCAGGTCACAACATTTTGCAGAGCCACCAGTAGAACTATGGACGTGGATGAGTTGGGGAGGGAAGAGTTCTGTGCCATTGTTATGCAGCTTAGGTTTGGAGTTTCTGGGATCACCCACCCTGAGACCCAGATATGTCTCCACCTATTCAAAAGAAACCGAGCCCAAGCCTCAGAGGGCAGTGTAAAAAAGGTGGCTAATTGCTCATACAATGATTTTCCAGCCGCTTTGGGGATAATTGTACATGGAAATATCTCCTTCATTGTGATGGGATTTTACAGTAATTGCTTGGCCTTCAGTGCACTGTCCCACTGACCCTAGCAAGGTATCACATTGTTTGGAAGGAGGAAAGATACAGTGGAAAATTGCTTTCAACATCCCTTCCACAGACTGGAAAATATTTGTTAACACACTTTAAACCTCTTTTCCTTTCCTGAAACTGCAGGACTGTGGGTCTAGATATCTGATTCCTCACCTAGCCAGTGTTGAAATGTTCAGGTACCACAATAAAAAGGGCATATATTTACCTAAGATAATACATTAATTCAAGGTTCTATTAGACCTCAATTTTCAAGACTTGCCTTACACTCGTTAATTTAATGTTAATTTGCATTTAGCAGCCCTAATGATTATATAGGTCAAGAAAACTAAAATATCTTTATTCTCTGGGGTTTTCTTATCTCCTTAGAGTACGCTCGATTTGAGGCAAAAATCCATGACCTGCGTGAGCAGATGATGAATCACAGCATGAGTTCTGGGTCTGGCTCCCTGAGGACTAATCAGAAGAGGTCACTGTATGTCAGGTAAGCAGGAAGAGCCTTCTCTTGGGAATATGTCAGCAGCTACCTGACGTGTGTTGTTGGTTTGGCAAGGTGGGAAAGAAGTCAGAGGAACTGCCTTGAAATGAACTGAGAAATGGATCCATCTTTCAGGCACAGCATCATTAATGAGAAAATTGGATAAAAGCCCTATTTGACCAATTCAAGTAATGTGCAAAGAGCATTACACTTTTATAGTGATTTGGGTTTATGAGATGAACATTTCTTAGCTCTGTCAATATCTGAAATGGATACTGTGGAGTAATGACACACTGTGTTTCTGTGTGAGGTCTTGCCCAGATGTGGAATGAGTGTTCTCAGGAAGAGCACCTTTTTGCCAAAACCTTTTTCTTGCAAAACTCAAACTCTTATATGCTACTCTAAATGCATGGCAATCTGCTACTATCACCTCACATATGTTTATGCTTCTATCAGTCTATACTGCAAAGAATTTGCCATCTACCTAGCAAGATGAAACATGTAGATGAGATGTTAAACAAGCGGCTGTCCATAGCTTAAATGGGGTAGTGAATAGCAAAGGAATTACCTTTGTAATTTACTGGGAGCAGTGGCTGTAGTTTCACTTTGACTGTACGAGTCTGTTGTCAGACTGGATTGTTGCCCAATTGCCCCAGCAAAATTTTTGCTGTCACTCTCCCCTTTTGGGACTCATGGAGATTATGGGACTCTGTCAAGTATTTTAATAATCTTAATAATTAAGCTTCTCTAGGCTTTAATTTTTCTTCTCCCCTTTGCCCCCTCTATCCTCCCCATGCTCAGCATATAATTTGAAATTCCTGACAATCATGAAGTAGAGGGAAGCAATTTGTCAGCCTCTAGGCAGTGATAATTATTCACAGGGGAGCTAATTCAGGTGATAACATTGCAGAGATCCAATTAAGGCTAAATTCTACATTTTGTCATTATGCTCTCAGCGTGAAGGAGTAAGGTAGCACAGAAGGAAAGGAAAACTTAAATGTTAGCATGAAGGGTCTTGTTCTAATGGGCAACAACCACATGAAGCACTAATTGGTACTGCTGTCAGAAAGAGCAATGACTGAAGGGACATGGATCGCTCTTATCAGTGATGTTGCTGTTGGGCAAGGTCAGATTAGAAGTGTTGAGGTTTCCAATGCATCTCTAACCTTCTCTGACCTGAAGTAGGTTTTTTTCCAGACCAAACAGGGTGGCTTTATTGTCAAGGGCTTTGGTCAGCTCCCTGAATTTGCATTTTATGAAAAGCTACAATTGTGTGTGTAAGGATAGATCCAAGCTTCCTTTCTCGAGATAAGCTAGGAACCCAAAATGTAGGGAGTAATGGTGTGAGAAGCCTGAGCCAGCAGCTGCAGGTTAATTGAGGTGTACACATAAAGGGCTAACACCAGGGCCCTGAACACCTTACTGCAGTTTGAACTGCAACAAAGCTTGATCCTCCCCTGTATGAGCATTGACCTGGTAAGCTCTGCTGAGAGCTGAGGCTTATTAACTTGCACTCTGAGCCAAGCTGAGGTATCTGTGCTGCATCTGGTCTAGACTAGCTCTTCTGTACAGTGCTCTGTGTGCACTGATGAGCCTGGTTTTCTACTAGTTCATGAATTCTGGCTATGGTCTGTCTCACTAAGCTGCTATGCCCTGGTGCTTCACTGCAGGAGCCTTTGATGTCTTAGCTGCTTATCTAAATGGCATTTCCCAAACTACAAATGCAAAACCTGTTCTTTTATTCCACAGTTGTTCCAACGAATGCCCCAAACCTCTGAAGCAGAAAACCTCACAAGCCTCAGTCGCTTTTGTTAGCATTTACTTTTTTCTCTCAGACCCACACAGTTGGCTGTGTCCATGTCTGAGCAGCCTGTTTGAGAGGCTCTGTATCTCACCTATTACCATAACGCGCCTGTAGCGCGGTAGCACCTGCAGCCTTGTGCCTGTCACTGTCAGTTCAATTCACATACACTAATTACAAAGCTAGCTTATGTCTCTGTTAGGCGATAAGGAAAAATAAGTCCAGGCTCAGAAATGTGCTCGTTTTCAGAGATGAAAATTTTCTCTTTGTGGATCCTCTTTACAGGCAGGGCCCATGTAAAAAGCTCAGATCTAGCAATCGGTTTCTATTCTTACAACTCAGGACATTTCTGTTTCAATGGATTATTTTAGTCAGCATGTGCAAGAGAGCTAGAGGCAAATGACCATATGTTGTTGTAAGTCTTTAGTGTAATGCCAAGTTTATGATTCAAGTTTGCTGTTTTCCTTTCTTTGGGATGTAGTGATTTTGCTGTCCTTCATTGAGAATGGCAAGCACGGTTATTTTTTAAGCAGAAAGCTGAATTGAAGCAAATCACTATATTTTAGGTAACACAAAGAAATAAATTAAGATCCAGATAGGTTGTAATAATTGAAAATGAGTGTCATTACCTGCTCATAGGAAAGCCAACAAAAGAGAGTGAGAAAAAGTAAAGCTACAGTTATGCCAGTGGATGTGGGGTTCACTGGATGCAGGGTTTGCTTCTTTACCTTACAGTCTGTGATTTCTCCATCCAACCCCTATTAAAAAAGTATAGCACTGAGATATGTGAAAGAAGCTATATAAAATTAAGTGAGGCAAAATGTAGTATGTGGTTAAAGGGTTGAATGTAGGACCGTGAGTAGGTGGCTGAAAGCAGTTAGAAATCTCACTTCAGGAGTGTAAACAACACAGGAAGGAGATCAAGAATTATTTGTTCAGAAAAATTGTGTAGCTCTTTGACATGATCTTTTATCTCTGCATACTCTGGTGTTTCAGATTTATATTATTTTTTTTCTTTCTTTATCCCAGTCTGTCTCTCTGATGTCTCCTGGAATATTTCCCATTAATTTCCTGAGTTATTTTTTTCAGTACTACCTGTTGATTTTGTATCACAGACCTTGTATCTGTGTTTGGGACAACATCAGAAAGTCCACAACACTAAAGGCAAAGTATGAAACTCCAGGGGAGGATGGAGCAGTAGGAAATGCTTTTAGTCCTTTTGAGAGCCCACAACCTCTTTGTCACTAGATCTGTTGAGGAAAAGAAATACAGGAAGAAATGCAGAGAGTGAGGAAATGTAGAAAATGTTATTATACATGCTTTATTTGGTGGTGAAAGTGAATGAACTTAAATTGAATTCACTAACTGCAATTATAGACTAAAAAAAATCTGCTTAGCATTTTTAAATCATTGGAATTCAATCATCGGGTCATGATCAACAAGGAAAGTAAACAAACCCATCACCAGCTAAATGCTGTGCTATATACATGCATAGCAGGGTCTTATGCACATTTGTGTCTTTTTTTTTGTCTTTTTAGCTCAAGTTTTTAAAATCTGGTCTTGTAGGATTATGTATTTGTTTGTCTTGAAACAAATACATGCTTTGCTTTTTCATTCTAGGTTCATTTCAATACTCAAATTTTTTAGGTTACTTATGGTTACTTTGCTACTCCTAGGAAATGCCAGATCACCTTATTTAACTCATGGGCTATGTAACATGTTGAAGGGTTAAGCATCAGAGAAATACAGTCCTTTAAGAAGTTTGGTGAATTGGAGCAGTCACTGAAACTTTAACTTCTAAGCTTTGGAGGAAACTGAGAACTTAAGCAGTTTTCCTGTTGTTTTACTAGATTATTCCTGAGATTAAAGTACTTGTGTTAGATTTCTGAGGACAAGAGCAGATGCTTCAGTAATTGCTACTATACATGCAAAGAAAAAGTTTTCAGGAATTACCTGGCATCCAAAACTGTCGTCTTAGAGTCTGATTTTAGTTTACAGATGAAAAGTGGTAAGATATGCTTAGAAGAAACAGTCACTGCACCATTTAAGCTTTATTCAAACCAGACACCTTCTGAAATAATGTTTATATTTAAAAATTCCAGTTGTCTAAAGCCACAGCCAGGTACCGTGGAGGTGTATCATTCTGCAGAAATAACTCTAAAGCTTCACACCCCACCACCTCACTGCCACCTCTCTGTTTAGTCTGTTCAGTACTGTCAGTGACCAAACATGATTTCACCTCATCAGGGCCCCTTGTTGCCGTGAATGAAGGGACTGATTGAGCTTACTGAAATGCAGCTGTTTCAGCTTCAGCACTACTTTCAAATATATCAGTACAAGTGAATGGTAGAGTTGGCTGTAAAGGTGGGGATGGAAATCAGGGCTGGGTAAGGACTGGATCCATCTGCAGTATCATAAGAAGTGGTTCTGGAGCTTCCTCTCCACTGTGCAGCAAAGAACGCTGCAGTGGAAAGTGGGCCCAAGGGCTCTTCCCAATAAGATGAAGACACAACCAACCTTTTTAATTCCAGTGCATGATTCACTATTTATATAAAATGTGCATGGTGCAAAAAAGTCTTAGTCCACTACATTTTTGTCTTCTTCTAAATGGAATTATTGCTAAGCATTTCATAGCTGCGATAGATATGGTCTATAAAAACACATAGCATTATGTGTTAAAAATGCATGTGTTCTGGTTCATTTCTTATTGAGCCATGAGGAAGAAGCCATCATGACTTAGCACAAGGGAAGTCAAAGGTACTCTGGGTAGTTTACTCTCATTCCCAGCACAATTAGGTATTAAACACCTTTACACAAATTTCCTGAACTTAGAAATTAGCATGTTGCTTATTTATCATAGACGGTTTGGGTTAGAAGATTTTGGTTTCAAACCCCTGCCAGGGGAAGGGAAATCTTCCACTAGAGAGACTTTGATTTTCAACAGATCACAGAAATTCTCAGTTTTCAAGTTTTCATAGCTACAACTGAAATTCATTGAGGCAGTTTGTGAAGATTGAATCTGATATCCAGGTTTTATGCAATGTCTGTTACAACCACCTTCAGTCTCCCTGTCTTCTTTGAGGCGGTGAACCCCCGCAGGCAGGTGAACATCGGGTCAAGGCTCCATGGGCAGAATTCTCTGCACAGCCGGTTGCAACGCAGTCTGAAATCCACCTGAGAAATGCAATTCTTGGAGACTTCATGG